TCCCTGCTCCTCCCAGAGGTGGGTGTCTAACCAGGGGCACATCCCCTGTTTGGTGAGAAGCGTATTTCTCTGGAATTCTGTGATGGTGAAGAAGGATGTTAAGTCCACAGGCAGTGATGTTGGTGGAAGCGCCACGGGCAGGGGAGGCAGTCTGGGATCTAGATGATTCCTCCATTCCTGTGAGGACAGCTCCCTGCCCCTCACCCAGGATCGAAGGTCCAATGTAATCAGCCTGCCACCAGGTGACTGGCTGGGCCCCCGGGGCAGATGTGACATTGGGGCTCACCTCTGAGCTCCCTGTTTGCGGTGAGGTGTGCTGCAGGAGCTGTGCCATGCCCGCTCCGGGCCTTTGTAAATAACCGGCCACTGAACCCTGTCTGGGTACCATGCCCAGCTGGTACCGGAGGCTCTCAGGGACTTTAGACCTCATGAAAGGCTCCTTCCCATGGGATGCAGGGCATCTGATTTCCTTTAGCTGGGACCTTCCTCTAGAGTTCTGTGATATCAGAGTCCACCGGGCAGCGCTCAGAGTGTGCCGGGCTTTTCACGACATCTCCAAACCCCCCTCTGAACAACTCTCTCTCCTGGTTTATAAAACCACTGAAGCAAATCAGCTTGCAAATGACCCTGGCAGTTCACTGGATTTCACTGAGTCAGGGCTATGAATTTGGTAATTGACTTTTCCTCACTCACACTTTATGGGAGGCATGAAAACAGCCCCTGCAACTTGATCTTAAAATGTTCACATTTGACAGTTGGTGGCTCGTGTCAGAATAGAAGCCTCTTCATGTGCCCAAGAGGCCACACGGGCATTCTGGAAACCTGAACTTTTGATTAATTGCACAGTAATGAATTCGCCGGCCTTCTTTCTACGTGATCCTTGACACCAGTCTCTGATGCCCACCTAGTGAGACTTTTTAAGGTCTGTCGGAATGTTTTTGTCACTAAGTTCCTGAGGTTGCAAGAATTACTAACTCCCTCAGAATAAACACTCACCACAACAAAGATCTCATACACAGACATAAAGTGAATGTTCTGGGGGTTTTGCGTCCTGCATTCATTTATTCTTCTTTATTCATGCTGTGACGGGTCCTGAAAGCCTACTATGTACCAGGCATCCTTCTAGGCTACAGGGAGAGGCTGCCGAGTCCCTGCTCTGGCTTAGTGGGAAGTAGGAACAAGTGGACAGAGTGATGAATCTACCCAATAAGTAAACTGGGAGTGGGTGGAGGGGGAAGGGTGACTTCAGAAAAGGAGCTCGCTCACATATGAAGGGCAGACTTGCTTCCTAGGGAAATGGAATTGGGCTGGGACAGGAAGCACATGTATGTGTTGCTGTGTTGGGGGTGGAGGGCTAACTTTGGGGTGCCCAGCTTCCATTGGGAGCTTTTCAAACCCATTAGATTTGGGCTTTTGCTCCCTTCTGGGGTTTGCACTGAGTGACTATACTCCAGCGTATAGCTGAACGATAATATATATATAAAAGGCTAATATGCTAAGTGTCTGACCTTCCAACTTATCACTATGACACACACTGACCACCAGGAGCTGCTGTGATGCGCACTGGCCATTTACAGAGAAAGGGAACCATGGACCTGGCACCCACAAAGCAACACTCGTCTTCCCCCAAGTGGGACACAGGCCCCGCCACCACCCCAGAGTGGCAGCCCACCAAATTGCAGCCAATGCTGCTGAGACCCCACACTGCAAAATGCAGCCCACAGCCCAGCCTGAAAATGGTGGCTGTGGGTGCTGGGTAATGACATTACGTAGCAACACTGGGCTTCCTCTCCCTAGTGACAGCTAGCCTCCTTGCAGTTTCTTCAGCCCAGGAACAGGACTTGCTTTATAGCACATGTGTCAAACACAAGGCCCGCGGGCCAAATCTGTCCTGCCAGGCCTTGCAATGTGGCCCGCACCGCGCTGTCATCACTGCACTCCGCTGAGTTTCCATCACAATGACAGTTTATGACTGTTCAGTAAACCATTCGGCCCGCGATTTAGGCTGGATTTTAGATTTTGGCCCCTTCTCTGATTGAGTTCGACACCCCTACTTTATAGCCAGGTGCAAACATTTCACACTATCTGTGAAGCGTTTTCCCATGTCTCATCTCATTTGATCTTCACAGAAGTCCTGGAGTAGGTAGATAGGAGACTCGGTAGCTTAGCAAGTCATTAGCAAGACAGTGGAGATTTAGAAAGTTTAGAAACGTGACTCGACCGAAAAGTAGTAAGAAATGGTGGACCTTGAAAATGACTCCAGGTTTTCTCACTGTGCAGAATATAGTCAAACACTGCTGCAGTTAAATATCTTACCCTTTGTTCTCCCTGCATCATCTACAATAATAATCTGCTTGGTGTTGATAATTACTGCTGTGTTGCTGACAATTTCCTGAAAGCGAAGTTGGGGTGCTTCACTAGACTGGAAAAAGTTTAGCTAAATCAGAAAGCAGGTCTAATTAAGCAAGTTTAATATCTGTATCTATATCTATATGTGTATCTATCTATCTATCTATCTATCTATCTATATATATGGTTAAGTTGACTCGTGCATACATGATACATATAAAGCTCTCACTGGTGCCAGACACACCTGTGTCTTTCAATCTCTCATTGTCGATCATGACTTTGGTTGCCACTTCTATTATAAAGAAAGGGTGATATTAGAATATTTCTTCTAATTATTTTCCTTTCAATGTGCATCAATTGGTGCACCAGGCCACTAGTCTATCCATAACATTTACAGGGTCCTTCTGCATGTGGAGCATTGCGCTGTTTATTGCCTGTAATCCTCACAAATCCACACAGCAGCCCGCTGACGAATGGCTAACCTTTCTTCATCAGGTTGTTATGATTCTCCTTATTTTATTAAGTTCTCAGACACTTTCTGGGCAAGCTCTCCTGTTGCATCAAGCAATTTATTTGGGGGCCAATATGACCCCGTCTTAATTATTTTAGTCTTGTAGTATAGTTTAACTTCTTTTTATAAAATTTTATTTTTTATTGACTGCAGAGAGGAAGGGAGAGGGAGAGAGAGATAAAAGTATCAGTGATGAGAGAGAGAGTCATTGATTGGTGCCTTCTGCATGCCCCTGCAGCCCTGACACGTGCCTGACCAGGAATCCAACCATGGCCTCCTGGTTCATAGTTTGAGGCTCAACCACTGAGCCACACCAGCTGGGCTAGCTCCCTTCTTGGAACTCCCCCTTCCTTGGCTCTGAACTAGCTGAGTTTCTCCCCTCTGACACTTCTCCCCACACCAACTTACACTTTCCCCTTCCCTCCCCATCCCCTCATCTCTCCTCCCTCTCCTTTTTCTCCTCTCTCGCCTCTCCTTCCCTTCTCTTTTACCCTCCGTGGCTAACTGCTCCAGGCAAACCCAGGCCCTCTGACCACTCCTTTCTGATGTGCCACAATAGGTTCTTGCCTTGGCCCTGCTCATGGCCCTCTCCTCCGCCCAACCTTCAGACCGAGGGGAGAGGGTGGGAAGTAAAGGCATCTCTGCGCTGCAGGAATGGAAGGTTTCCCTAACCACCTCAGTGCCATGGTGGGAGGGAGGGAGAATTAGGCCCCATCTACAGGACCCTCAAGTCCCTTGCTTGTGGTTTACAAGATCCAGCCCCAATGCCCTGTGGCCCCACCTTCCTCTGCTCTTTGCTGTTCCCTAAGCTCAAGGGACGCCTCACTCACCCGGGCGCTTGTCCTCTCGCCTCCAGGACGGCTCTGCTGGACATTCACATCCCTGATCCAGCTGGTCATTTAGGCCGTCCCTTAAAATGTCACCTCTGCCACCAAAACTGGTTTGGCTCAGTGGATAGAGCATTGATTGGCCCGGGGACTGAGGGGTCCCAGGTTCGATTCCCTTCAGAGGCATGTGCCTTGGTTGTGGGCACATCCCCAGTGGGGGGGTGTGCAGGAGGCAGCTGGTTGACGTTTTTTTCTCATTATTTCTGGCTCTCTATCTTTCTCCTTTCCTCTCTGTGAAAAATCAATAAAATATATATTTAAAAAATGTCACCTCTGCCATGAGCCTTCTGAGGATGACAGGTCCATATAAAGAAGCTCCCACGTCCAGCATAACACCAGTTTGTCCCCTCACAGCATTTGCCCACAGCGGCAGTCATACGGCTTCTGTTTGTTTTTCTGTCCCTGCTTCCACCTTTCCCTGGGATACACGCGGTGTGGGCGCAGGAACCTCCCAGGACCTGGTCAGGGGGCATTGCCCACTGGGTAGAAGCTGGAGCCTGAAGGTTTAGTCATTGATTCTGTGAATGAGAAACTGGGGCTGCACAGGGAAGGAGGGCCAGGAGCACGGGTTAGGAGCTAAGGGAGAAGCCAGGATTCGGATTCCGTGCTCTGCCCAGGTCCCCAGCCCTTGGTTCGCCCAGGCTGGCAGAGACTGGGCTGGCCCAGGGCCCAGGGCCCAGGGAGGCAAGCGCCCAACCGTGAACCAAGAACTCAAGGGAACCGGGAGCCAGTCACCACCAGGGCGCGGGGGGCTTCGCGGTGCCCTGGGCCTGGGCCAACCCAGCAGCTTAGATTTTACTCGGGAAGCGCAGACCCCGGGTCGGGAGGTGACAGAAGACGTAGAGCTGCGGTGCCCGGAGGAGCAGAGGGAGGCCCGCTCCCGGCGTCCTCCCCTCGGCCGGGGAGAGCCCGGCGCCCCCGGGAGCGCGGAGAGGCCGGGCGCGGGGCCGCGGGGCGCAGGGGTGGGGGCCGCGGGAGGCGGGGCGCCGGCGGGGCGGGACCAGGCGGCCCCACCCCGCGGGGTGAGGCGTGCGGGAGGCGGCGGCTCGGCGGCCGGTGCGGCGGGGCTGGAGCGGCGGGAAGGAAGGGGGCGGTGGGAGCGGAGGCGGGAGGAGGCGGCGGCGGGCGGGCGGCTGGCACCGGCTGGTAAATACCCTGCGATGCAGCCTCAGGCTCGCCGGCCTGGGTGCCGCCGCCGCCGCCGCCCGGGAGCGCGGGTGCCAGGCTCCCGCCGCCGCCGCGCGCCCTAGCGCCCCGGGCAGCCCCGCGCCCGCCCGCGCCCTCCTCTCCCGCGGCCCCCCTCCCGCGCCCCCCGGGGTCCCGCCGCTGACCCGCGCGGGATGTGACCCCCCTGCGCCCCGCCCGGCCTCCCCCGACCTCCGGGGGGCCCGCCTGTGCCTGCTTTCGGGGCGGTGGGCGGGGAGGGCGCGCGGATCATGGCATTGGGGCTCCCGGGCTTGCAGCCGCCGCCGCCGCCGCCCGGTCCGCGCAGCCCGAGCGCCCCCTCTTCCCGGAGCAGCAGCGGAGGCGGCGCGGCCGATGGGGCTCAAGGCGCGCAGGGCGGCGGGGGCGGCGGGCGGCGGCGGCGGCGGGGGCGGCGGAGGCGGCGGGGCCGCTAGCCCGGCGGCCGGGGGGGACCCCGCGGCGGGAGGGGACCCCGCGGCCGGCGAGGAGGAGCGGCGAGCGGGGCCGGCGCCGGGCGAGGCGGAGCACGTCGCCGTGGCGCTGGGGGCCGGCGCGGACAGGGACGGGACGCTGCTGCTGGAGGGCGGCGGCCGCGGCGAGGGCCCCCGGAGGACCCCGCAGGGCCTCGGGCTCCTGGCCAGGACCCCCCTGAGCCGCCCGGCGAAGAGGAACCACGCCAAGTGCCGGCGCCTCCAAACTTTGATCTACGACGCCCTGGAGAGGCCGCGGGGCTGGGCGCTGCTCTACCACGCGCTCGTGTGAGTACCTGGCGTTTCGAGGCGCCTCTGGGCGCAGGTTGGGATTTGGGGCGCAGGCCTGAGAGGAGGACTGCCTCGGGGGTTGGCATGGCATTGGAGACCAGCCTGCCCCCCAGTGCGCGCGCCTCTGCCGGTCTGGGCTGTGTCCGTTAACCGCTCTGGGGTGTCGGACCCCGAGGCTTGAAAAAAGGTCCAAGCCTGGTCGGTCCCTCAGACCATTGGGAGGTTGGATCGGCGTGTTTGCACATCGAGGACACCTTCTCCGGAGGCTGGTGGTACCAGGCTGGAGAGAATGATGTGATGTTTTTCCAGGGAAGGTGGAGGGTGAGCAGGATGAAGCGGCTCCTCCCTTGTCCGCTGCTGTGTTGCTTGGGGCGGGTCCCTCCTCTGGGGATCGCTGCTGAGTTTGGAGGACGCGGCCCGGAGTTGGGGTGGGAGTTGCCCACATGGTGTGTGTGTGTGTGTGTGTGTGTGTGTGTGTGTGTGTGTGTTGCTTGCCTGGGCTCCCCTTCTCAGGGCTGCATCCTGGTCCAGAGCAGGTCCTGGCGTTGCTGTGACTGGGGACTCGGACTGGTCACAGAGCATGCCTCTGAGTCCTTTTTAGAGAGGCTAATGGGGGAGAGAGTGTGTCTCTCAGGCTCCATGCCTACACAGAGGCTGGGGCTTACCAATGCCAGAGCGGGGTGGGGGGAGCGCCCTGAGGCTTATTTTGGCTGAAACATCTCGGTGACTTGGTCCTGAGCTCCCCCCTGCCTCCAGGACTGCCCGTTCTCCTGCTTTGGCCGGGCAGGAACACGGTGGAGGTGTGTGTGGAGGGGCCTGGGCTGGAGGTGTGCCCCTGGGAAAAGTCTCCCCGCCATCAGGAGGTAAATGCCTGTGCACCCCACACTCTGGATGGAACATCTTCCCGTGTTTGGGGAGAGGGAGAGGGTGGGAGAGGGGGCTCCTCCCCCAGGAGGGGAGATCAGGGCTGCAGGCTGACACTTCTGGGCTGGCAGGGCTCATCATCCCTCCCCTCCCCTTGCCTCCTGTCTGTGGCTTAGTCATCCTGATGGCTGTTTCTTACGAGGCAGTACCTTCCTGGGTGGAGCACTGGCCGTGACCTTGACCCCTGATAAGCGTTTAGCTTTGGCTATTCCTCTCTGCCCTCCTCCATGATTGATGGGGCCCCAAGGGAGTTCAGAAAGCCTCAGAGTTACACTACCTGCCAGTCTTCCTGGGTTGGGATGCTTTCCCAGATTTGGCCGCCAGGTGGGGTTGTTGGCACAGAACCTCTGAGCTGGCAACAGGTTTCTTCAGAGAGGTTACTGGAGCCCGGAGAGGTGGCCTCTCCGGGAGCTGAGGTACCAGCAGGAAGGAGGGGGCATCCAGCCAGGAGCGGGGTGTAGGGTGGCCTCGCCTTTGGTGTCCTCATGTATTTGCAGGTTTAAGAGGTGGAGAGAAGGGTTAGCAGCTAATTGCTTTTTCCATTTGCTTTCTTCAGGTGGTAAAAAGGGATTAAAAATGCATTCATCTCGCTGTCTCTCACACTGGATTTAGTGAAATTGAACCGCAGTTAATACTGGAATATGTGATAATAAAAAGGCACGAGTTATTTGAGTGCACATAAACGTACAGACTCAGATGACTCAAATGTTCTTTTGCACGTAAATTGGGTTCAGTACTTACTGGATGACTTACAAACGGGGGGCGGGGGGGCGTCCCCTGGAGCTTGTGGGCTTAGTCTTTTTCTTCCACCTTTTCCAGCCTCACCCCAGGCCTGCCTTGCTCAGACAGGGAAAGGGATAGCTGAGGCCTGTGGTTGTGAGCCTAGATAAGCCTTCTCTAGAATTATCCATCACCCAGAAGCAGGTATGAGAATGCCAACACCTGTAGCCTCAGTTTCCCGGAAGGTTCCAGAAAAACGTAAACCTATGGGAGAGGGAAGAGTTGGATACCTAGCGATGCGGCCAGGTACTTTGAAATGATCGCCGTGACCTGTGAGGTGGGGATTACCTACATTTTGTAAATGAGCTATGAAAGCTTCCAGGGAGAGAACCACCTGTCCAAGACCCCACAGCTGACGGTTCCTGAGCTCACGTCTGAGTGCAGTGGGTCAGGCCTGTTTCTGAGCCCGGACCCCTGTTCTGACCCGCTGCCAATGACAGAACGCTTAGCATTTTCACCGGGTGCCCCATTGGTCACACAGGGCGCCTACCGCCCTGTAATGCCTCTGCCTCGCCTTCCCAGATCCCAGTTGGCAAATGGCTAGCAATGGACTCTGGAATGAAACAGGGGCAGCTCAGAATTAGGGAATGTGGGCTGGGCTGGGGGAGGGGGTGTGTGGGTTCAGCTTAGTCCGGATGGTGCAGGAAAGCCGTGGGGGCTGGGCTGAGCAGACGTCGCAGGAGAAGTAGTGAGTGGGTGACTTGTACGTCCTCCTCCAGCTCAGGAGCAAGTCCAGTCAGTGGAACAGAACTGAACCTTTCGTTGATGATTCCGGATTTTGCAAGGCACTGAAACCATCCATGGATGCTTCGAACCGTCCATTATCCTGTTCTGAGCTGTGGCTAATGGTGTGAGGGGCCAGGGGATTGGGCTGACCCTGGACTCACAGTCTAGTGCACGGTTTGTTTAGTTTGTTTGTTTTTCAATGAACCAGACCCACGAGATGCGACTTTTCTCCCCTCTGTTCTGAAGGTAGAATAAGCAAATGTGGATGCCAACGACCCCCACCTCTTTGCCTTCAATGTCCCTCCCCCCGGCTCCTGGCTGCTCACTTAGCACCTCCTCTGGGAGAAGCTTTCCCAGGCCCTCCAGACTGAGCTGGAGTCGCCCCCTTTCGGCAGCATCCCCAGTCCTAGGCTTTTGCTTGGCGCATTGGATCCGCCTGCCTGCTCGTCTCCCCATGGAACTGAGCGCTGCTTGGGAGCAGGGTCTGTGTGTTCCTCAGTGCCCTCAGTCCCAGCAGGCTGCGCGCCTCCGGTGGTCACTCAGCAAGCCTTTCCTGGAGGGATGAGTGCAAGAACCCTCTCAGGCTTGCTAAGACTCCATTCTGCACAGCGTTCCTATCATAACAACTAAAACAACAACACTCGATAGCCAAGGTCGGCATGTAGGATTTTACTGATAAGAATGGTTCTCGGGGGCTTACAATGGACTCTGGGGAGGGAAAAAGGAGGGAGACTATGCCCCGAGCCCAGTAAGGCGGGTCTCTTCTCCGCTTTGTTAGTCTCACGGCTGGAAGGGGTTCTGTGCTGTGGACAAGGTGCTGGGCTGGGAGTGCCCATCTGGCCTCGGCCTTCAGTCTGTGCTTTGCAGGAGCCGGGTTGGGGATGATCTATTTTCGGGGAGGATAATTCTGCCCTAACACAGGGTGGTTTTTAAACTAAAGACAATGGTGTGTATGAATGGAACTGGCCCGGCATCAGCCAGTCAGTGCTCAGTAAAGGTCTCCGTCTCCTTGTCATGCGCACTGGCCACTGTGCTGCCCGGCATTGCCTCGGGACTCCCCTTCCTGGCCTGTTCGGCATTGCTGCTGGATTGGCATTGCACAAGCACCCCTGCCCTGCCCCCCTCTCCGTGGCCTGCTGGGTGTGTCCAGTCACTCACCTCTCCACAGACCCAGGGGGAAGCAAGCGCAAAGACTACCCACTGGTTGTCTTTCCGTTTTGCCACAGCCATAGGTTTGACAAGGGGTTACTGTCCAAAATACACAGGGAATTCATACAGCTCAATAGTAAGAAAGCAAATAATATGATGAAACCAAAGGCCAAAGGACCCAAATAGACATTTTTCCAAGAAGATACACAAATGGTCAACAGGTACCTGAAAAAGTACTCCCACTCACTAATCATCAGGGCAGTGAAAGTTAAAATCACAGTGAGTCCCACCTCACACCTGTTAGAATGGCTGTCCAAGAGACAGAAGTTCAGTGCTGGCAAAGATGGAGAGAGAAGGGAGCCCAGGGCAGTGCTGGTGCGGTTGTAAATTGGTGCAGCCAGTATGGAAAGCAGAATTGGTTGAGCTGAATGCACTTCCTCTTTTTATAAAATTTAAAACATTCTTAAATTACAGTTTACATAAAGTATTGTATTAGTTTCAGGTATGCGACATAGTGGTTAGACATTTATGTGACTTGCCCTGTCAGAAGGGCTATCATCAATAAACCAACAAATGACAACTGTTGGCGAGGATGCGGAGAAAAGGGAACCTGTTGGTCCATGTGCTATTGAAGGGAATGCAAATTGGTGCAGCCCTGTGGAGAGCAGTATGAAGGCTCCTCAAAAAATGAAAATAGATCTCCCATACCACCCAGCTACTCTCTTCTGAGTAGTTACCTGAAGAAATCCAAAGCTCTAGGTTCATTGCAGTGTTGTTTACTGCTTGATAAACCATCATGTACAGAAGATGTGGAATATATGCACAATGAACACACTTGCTTAGATTCATGGATTCTGTATAGTCCCTGCCTCAGGTGCCTTGGGCTTTGTCCACAAACACACAGGAGAAAGGCGCATTCATTTCAAGGCCACACATGCCGAGTCAAAGTGCAAACCTTGTGCCAGGCCCCGAGCCACAACGCTTCCCCTGTGGAGAGAGACTTAAACAACGGAATTGACACAGTCCAGCAAATGCAAGACAGAATGCAATGAGGAGCCGAGGAGAGCAGTCAGGGGAGGGCACTGGGAAGCCTCCTGCGTTGCGTCAGAAGAAGGATTTGGAGATGGCAAGACCGAAGTCAGCACCAAGGCTCAGGCCGCCTCTGGGTTTGCAGGTGTCACAATGCCAATCAGACCCCATCCACACCGTGGCCACGGAAGAGCTAGAGGAGGTTGCTTGGAATGTGTTCCCGAGAAAACAGACGGGGTTGGAATTCAGGACACGATGGCCTTTGAGTGTGGTCACCAGTGCAGGAGAGTAAGGGCCCAGGCGTTGGGCCATGGGGGTGACATCCCAGGCTCTGGCGGCTCCCTCCCCTGGGTTGCTGTCCTTGCTGCAGCCATCAGGACTCAGATCTG